TTTCATTGACTAATTTAGAGAAGTTTTGTATACTTATTTTCAAATTACATCCTTTCATATTCAACGACAATTTTTTGGGTGTCATTATTAAAGGAAGAGAGAAAATCGTCGTGTTGATATATATTATTTTATTCCGGATACCTTCGACATTAGCACAATGTCATCCTCAGGGTGATGCTTATTTCAAGACAAATATTCTAGTGTTCATCATTTTCAAAAACAAAATTGCTGTTCCCATCTGAAAGTTAATTTTTACTTGTGAAGTTATCTTGATAAAGCCCTCAAGGATCGAAACTCTTTGAAATAGAAAAGGTTTAATTTTTTTTTTTTCTGTTATTCCTAAAACACACACACACACACACACATATATATATATATATATATATATATATATATATATATATATATATATATATATATATATATATATATATATATATATATATGGTGTTTGTAGGTGCGTGTCTGTGTGTATTATGAATGAAGATTAAATCTATAGTTGGTGAAATGCTTTTGAAAAAAAAGGAAAATATCTATAAAATATGAGCAAAAACATGAATTCATTTTACTGTAAACATTCAAAATTACGTTACTTACCGCCCTCCATATTTTCCGTGATTTCAACGTCAAAAGAGAGATTTTGATTATATTTTACAATATTCAGAAATTTAAATTAGACGGCATATCATTTTTTCTCAGCGATAATTTTGTCTCTGTATATAAACAAAGTTCTCAATAAACTTTTATACTTACAAGACGCTTTGTAAACTGTACCTTTTGCTCTTGGCATTTATTTTATATATACACACATAAACACACACAGATTATATATATATATATATATATATATATATATATATATATATATATAAATATATATAAAAATTTAAATACCCCATGTTGAATAAATCTATTTACCCTTACATTTTTCTGCATGTCATTTAGTTTATATCTAATGTACAGAAATACATCTTAGACATTTTTTTTATAAACGCGATTGTATTTCAGAGTGCACTTTTACAGGCAGAACTTGCGGACAGTGACATATATGCCAAAAACCGATGTTAATAGTACCGATCAATTTATACTTTGTTCAATGATTTCTCTTATTACCCGCAAACAATAAGAATTTGAACATCATAATTTGACAGATATATCGATCGAGGATCTTTCTACAGGATGCAATAAGTATTAGCATCTTTTAAGTGCAATTATTAAGTAATATCTCCTTTGGTTATGTTAAGACTTTACATTCGGTAAAGGCAAATAAAAAAAAACCCGTAGTCAAATTGACAGAACCGACATCGCTTCAGCAAAAATCAACACGATGTTTGTAGATTAGTATTTCTTTTGTTCTTTCTGAAGATTATTCCAAAGAAATGAAAATCAAAAGAGTTCTCTTTCAGCTGATCAGAATTATTTCAAATCCCAAGAGATTTCAGCCATTCTTCAAATTGTGCCTAACTCAGTTGAAAGATATAAAAATCGATGCTATAGATAATGTCCAATATTGATTTTTTGTTTTATGGAATTTTCAGTTTATCTTCATTTATCTAACATTACGAACAGCACATGACACACACACGCACACACACACACACATTATTATGCGATGGGTAAATTTTCGCCATTTTCATTTTTAATTTGGCGCATGCGCATTGTTTGTTTTTCATTTTTGTCGTCTGCATTATATAGTAGGGTCAGTTAGGTATTGTCTGTAAGGAAACAATGACGCAATTCATTCCAACAGCAATTTGAAGACGGTATGCTGTACCGCTTGGCATTCGCACGGTAAGCAGCAACACAAACATTTCAAAGTTGGATGAGTCTAATGGTAATTATGAAGATATTAGGAGTGATTCCCGGTGATGGCGACATTATTCCTCCATTCATCTTCCCACAGAAACTATCTACCCCAAATCAAGGTCACATGGCCCAGTGGATAAAAGCGTTTATCCAGTGACTTGACCCTAAGAGGTTTTGAATTCAATACCTGGACAGGGCAGAGATGAACAATAAATGAAACTCAGATATCCAGAAAAGCATGGCACGTGGAATTAGAACAGTCTACCCAACGTGTACAAAATAAAGGGCTCGCTTCGAAATTCCAACATATATATCAGCTGAAGAATACTGGAGCGTAAAACGACTGAAACGTCGTGAATATAGCAACGAAGATGGGGACTACAGTCCGAACAATGTAAATATTTTCGTTATTTACATTACCTGATCCCAGGAATATAGACAGATATTACAAAATTACTCTATTTTATTCGGAATACTAGAGGATTTTCGGTTCGCACAGACGAAAAAAAATTAAATCCCCTTATTACTATTCATGCTAGGAATTTTATCAGACAAATCCTAAATTTCTTCTTTGAAATAATCATTTTATATAAACTAAACAAATAAAACAAATAACGCACACTGAAAGAAACACAACTCTCGCTTGAAGCGCCATCTACCGTAGAGAAGTATTATGTACACTTAGATGTGCTGATTGCCGCCAGAGGCCGATGTCCTACTTGGAAGGCAGAAGTGAACGCGTAATTAATGGCGGACTGACACGATGGGGGAAAGGAGGAGCGAGGAACAACCTTCCACAATGTTTGTTGCCTGCTAGTCATCAAGCGTGAAGCCCCTAATTAGGGGGTCATTGTAACTGATAAGATTCTTAAGACAATTTACACTTTTCAGCGAAAAACAATGGGTTATTACAAAATGGATGTTTTAAAACCAAAATATTTCTCGGGGTTTTTACTTACATACACTGTAGAGTTTCTTACGTTTTTCGTGCGCAAACACGGTTAATGGGACGTTATATTATACAAGACACGCTTCCTGGTGGATATACGTTTCCGAAATAATTTACAACATATCCCGACGGTACGATTTAAATAAAATTCTCTGACTTTGTTCGTCACACTCTCTAAAATAGCCATACATTGACCGATCCAAACAAATTTAGGTGAGAAGTACAAAGAGGTTACTGGGTACAAAGTGCAGTCAGTTTTACTATGTTGCATAGCTTGAAACAATAAATGTTCCTAAGTATTTATGGAAAAATTAAAAGTCCGTTAACTGCCAAATTTTTTAATACGCATTTTTGGCCCAGACAGGTGTTTAGGGGTTTATTTATTCCTTATTTTTAATTTCAGTAGTTACCATTGTCATTTTTATAGAAACTAGAACATCAAATATATATATTATTTCTAATATTGATTAGAAGTAATAAAAAATACTTTTCAAAATAGTCATTATTTTTTTACTTGTGAAATCTAAAATTACGACAGAAACTGTTTCTTACGGCTAATAATAAAAAGTGATGTAAAATATACCGCTGAAAAAGCAATGTATATAAGCAATTCAATGTAAATACAAGGAATAACATGCAGTGAGTTTAATTTTAACAGATCGCCAAATGGGGCTCATGGCAGGTAATGGGATACTATGTAACATACAAAACACTATTTTGAAAACAATTTTATGATTAGAATAAGAAATACTTATTTAATAAAAAATGCAATAATATTTTTTGCATATCTTTTCTTTAAGTTTTTATATATATTTCATTCTGCTAAAATATAATGCAGCGTAGTAGTAATGTAAAAATAAACACAGTGGGAAGCGTAGAGTTTGTAAATGTTAGCGATAAGTTCAACAATACCAAATATTGTGAAGATTTTGATACGCGTCAGTAATTTAATTTTCTTCCTTGAATTCTGATAACCTTCCGTTTTAGATTATGGTTCACCCAATAAAATGCCCAAGAACCCCCGAATGTAGAGTTTACAGATTGAAATTGTTGAAAAGATGCACATGGATGAGAGAGAGGTGAATATTATGAGGATATTGTGATAAAGTAATCGAGTGTAATCTCTCTTGTTTTATGTTTACCTCCCTTTGAAGAACTCTTTCGTTTGTAGAGTACTATAAATAATCACTACGCTGCTATCAATTATCCTAATCAGAATAAAGCTGCCTTAAGCCTAATTTTCCTCTCTTTATTATTATTATTATTATTACGGGTACGTAGGATAGACATCGTTTGACCATAGACATGAAGAGGTTAAGATTGGTTGGTGAAGCAACCTGTCAGGCGTCTGGTGCACGAATTGACAGTTTTGAAGATAAAAAAATTCTCTCAGTGGAATCTCTTGCTTGCCAAAGAAATACGAAAAGAAAGAGGGGGTAGGTATGGTGTAGTTGCTATGGTAATTTTTAAACGCGAAGACGGGATCTGGTGGAACTAAATAAAGTAGCTAGTTGAAGCATAGAAAAATAATTAATCACACACCAACACAGCGTAATCATTTTTCAGATCTGCCTAGACTGTAAAATGAGGACTGGGTAGCTTCTTCTTTATATGCCGTGTTCCTTCAGGACATTAGCAATCATGGCCCTCCACACATCTTCCTGACATAATCTATTAGCAGCTATTGTTATATCATTCACTTCCTCAAGCCCACCACACCGCTTTCCTCTGTTCGTTTTTATCTCGATCTGTCGATCGATCTAGGACTCTTCTCTCATTATTTGCCCCAGAAATTTTAACTGCCTCTTCCTGTTGTTAAGAATAAGATTTCTTTTTGTTACCACTTTAACCCCCCACCGCAAAAAAACCTTGTCATTTCTCACGGGTTCGCTCCATGATATCCGTAGCAACTATCTGTAGAACCACATTTCTGTTGCCTCGTCTCTTCCTCATTTTTAAGGAGACCACTCAGTATCATATATGAGGACAGATATCACATAACGGTTGACTGCACTTTTCTTTGTTCTAAACGAACGGCAGGACAATATTTTTAAATTGTATGATTTTTTCTGGAGATAATAATTAATTAGTGATACAAGTCTTACTAATTAAGCTGGAGAGATAAGATGTGGATCCATAACTTTTCCTGGGGTATTTGAGCGTAAGTAAATATAACCCAACTAAAATTAGAACTCGGCTTTCCTATAAACAATACCGAGCCATTATCCCAAAACGCACAACAAGCTTATAGCACCAGGTATTCCCAACCGTTCACCCATCAATGTACTCACCAGGCTCGACGTTGCTTTACTAAGGTGATCGTAAGGGAACCGGTGTGGCAACATGAACTGGCTGTAAGCCATCCAGGCAATTTTCAGTAAGAGTTACTTTGCGAAACCGTTTTCAAAATATACAAGAATTGGTTTATAACGCTAAGTGTTTGGATGAAACATCGTATATTTGGAAAAGGAAATTATTGAAAATATTAATTCATTGAATATTTTTACATTTGACATTTAAATATAGAATGTTTCTTTTTCCCAAGATACTGATCAGTAGGCACTCTATATACATTTTGTCTCCTTGAATATTATTAAAAGAGAAAAATAAATTTATCCCGTAATGTAAAAGAAATGGAATTTCGTCGCAAGTAATGATCTCTGTTTTAGAAAAGTAAAACGGGGAGATACAAAGGTCAACTCATTTCCGACAGTGGGCAATTTTACCCATGAATACAGCGCAACTTAAAATTATATTTTTTATCATATATATATATATATATATATATATATATATATATATATATATATATATATATATATATATATATCTTTCAACACGAGGCACACCCAAGCTTATAGCACCTGGCATTCCCTGACGATCCGTTCAGGTGAAACCTTGGTAAGGTTTGTCTGGCTCTCTAGGCTTAACTAGGTCTGCGCTACTCATTGTATTGACACTTGATTTACTTGTTTTGGGTCCTCGCATCGGGTTTTTTCTTCTTTGATCCTTGAACTCGTATGCTAGACGATTATTTTCAGCTAACGTACATGTTCTTGGTTCTTTCTTTTTTCATATCTTTCTTTCCCATTGGTATTGGCTTGATTATTTGCAAATCAATACACCGAAGATTTTCCGAACGAGTGTAGTTTTTATACTTATAAAATTTCTATTAAATATATATATATATATATATATATATATATATATATATATATATATATATATATAATACTATATAAATAGTAATGAAAAATGTGCTAAACAAATATTTTAATTTGGGAAAAACTAAGAGACTATGTTATGGTCCGGAACCTTGTACCACGGTGATAGTCCAAGGTAGAACCAATAAAGAAGAACTCGAACACAGGTATGGAATAACACAGATATATTACAAACAGGAATATATACAGAGAAGTAGAAAGTGTTAGTACGAACAATCAGGTTTAGTAGTAATTGTCTGAACGCGACTCTGTTTCGGACTGCCTCTGACTCAGCTGACTGACTGACGGACTCCTGACGGACTTCACTCCAGACTTCAGACTGAACAGTATTTAGTCCCCCCCTGCGAGGACACCATGTGGCACAAGGCCGGTTTAACGTGGGATCTCCGAGCCAGTGGGCTCGGCCAAAAATATGCCCTTTGAACCCGTATAAACGGGTTCAGGGTCGGTTTACCTCCCTGAAAGGGACTCCGCCCTTCGGTATAGCCTCATCGGGATTCCGCCCCCGCCGGAAGGCGGAGAGTTCAACCGATCATCCGGTCGTCCGCATTCGGATTGAACTTCCTGCTTCCTCTTGAGGCGCAGTATTTATTACGTATGGAATAATCCATTATGTTATTATGGGTAAGGTCCCGTAACACTTTATGAAATATTTAAAAATTTATGAAAGTTATAAGTTTAATATTTTTTCTATTTTTGATCTTCCTGAATTTCGCTCCGTTCTTCATTTGCGTTCATGGCAGCTCTTTTATGGCAATACTGACGCGAGTTCGACATTCTTTCACTTTCATTTTGTAATGCCTGTGACTAGATATGTCAGTGGTCATAAATGTTTTGCTCAATGAATTTGAGTAGTGTACAATAGCATTCTCTGCTTGTTCGCATAAAACTCTTTCATCATCACTTTGTTCGTATAATAAAGACACACTACTATTGTAAATATCACTATTAACGCTATCTTGAATACTTAACTTTTGTATGATTATCATTATCTATTCCTGCATCTCAACCTATGCAACAACATCATGTGCATTAACCGATTGAAAATATTTTGTGTTCAGTAGGAAGCTGGCCAATTTCACTAATTTCCTCCACGTCTGGTTCTTTTTCAAACAATTTGTTTCTCTTTTGTTAATATTACTTTCTGAAAACACAAGCTCTAACTCGCTATAGTTTTCCCCATGCTTTTTCTAAAGTGTCAGCTTTTACTTCATTCCAGGATTGTAAAAACACGCCATCTTTGACGGTGAAACTTTTCTGAGAATTTTTTAGGCTAACATTGGAGTTCATCAGTTCCATCATGAAATGATTTTTCTAGAAAGATTTCATATTCCAAATGACACACACACACACACACACACACACATATATATTATATATATATATATATATATATATATATATATATATATATATATATATTGGTTGGATCAATGATTAACGTTTGACAGTAAATAACGCAAAAAAACATTTACACAAGATGAAACTAATGTATCTTCATGTGGATAGGCTCTGCAGTTGCCTAAAAGAAATAAGCATCTTTAATTTGGTTTGTTTAATTCAAGAAAGTGGGTTTTTACAGATTAGACAAACTCCTTAAAGAACCAATCAGTGAAGAGTTACTTATTCATCCATGATTTTTTCGAAGATTTGTATGTAACTGGTAATTACACAATTCCTTTCAACAAACAGGGAGACATAGATTTTCCTATAACTAAAAGTCTAATTTTGTGGCAACTTGACACCTTAGAACACACCGTCACTGTCAATCTTTCTTTATTTAGTTTATAAAGTGCACAGCTACAGATTTTGTGGGCGAACATTTCCAATAGATACAACTTTCATCAGAATTGTAGATTTCATCTGGGGTTAAATCATGGTTCTTCATAAATTTGAATATGTGGGAGCTGAAATTTTTAATTGTCGTATTCCATGTCGAGTCTTGAAACTTCACAAAATTTCATATTAGTTTTCATGTTCTTTCCTGCATAAAGAGGCTTTAGCATCGGGCGTTATGATGCCAAACCTTCTAAATATTTTGAGAAGAACCACTCGTATAGAGTTTGGTCAAATTGACGGTCTTTTGGTCAATAAAAAGTTTTTCGTAAAGCATTTCTCCTTTATTTACATTATTCGGACTATTGTCCTCGTTGTTGTCACCTTATTTATTACAACGTTTCGGCCGTTGTACGCTCCAGCCTACTTCAGGTGGTTGGAATGTCGAACTTAACCCTTTATTTCGCTCACTGGGGTAAAATGTTCTAGTTCCACGTGCCATGTTTAATGGATGTAACTTAGTTATCTCCTGTTAATTTCCCTTTGAAAGTTCTCCACTGCCTTAACTCACACTCTTTGGGTCCTGTCACTGGATCTAACCAACGCCATTATCCACTGTGACATCTGTCATTATCCTTGATGACATCTGTGTATGAATTTCTGGGTATTATAAACATGCAATGATAAAAGCCAAAAATTGCAATATGAGCTCTGGTAAAAATGAATGTTCAATGCATTAGCATTCAAAATTCATTTTTACCAGAGCTCATATTGCAATTTTTGGCTTTTATCATTGCATGTTTTTACCAGAGCTCATACTGCAACTTTTTGTTGTTATTAAACGCTTTTCTTTGGCACTCCTTATTACTGGCTCTCATATTGTATTCATTTCTATGCTTGATGCTTTCAGGAGATTTTTGTGGCCTAGCATATGTACTGATTCCTGAAGTTCCAACCACCAGAAAAAAGCCTGGTGCATACAACAGCCGAAACGTTGTAATAAATATGGCGACAAAGATGAGGACAATAGATGGAATAGTGTAAATAATGTACATAATACCTCATCTCAGAAATATAGACATTTCTCCTTTTATTTTTTCACATGAAATATATATATATATATATATATATATATATATATATATATATATATATATATATATATATATATATACAATATAATATATATATATACACACACACACACACACACATATATATATATATATATATATACTCTACAGCCTGACAACAGCACATGAGATTTGATTGTAGTGGTGAAGGTTTTGTGCAGAACCATCCACACTTTTTGAAGGGCCGAATACAGTATATATATATATATATATATATATATATATATATATATATATATATATATATATAAATAAGCGTGCTTCTTCCAATGTTATATTATTTCATTAGAACCGAGTTACTTAATCCTTTATATTTTCAAGAATTTCAAGTTTTTGCACAAAGGTCAAGGTAATTATCTTCCTTTTTCAACTTACTAACATTATTATGGGCAAGAAATATCTTATTAAAAAATAACTCCATTTTGTAAAGGAAGTAAAAAAAAGTAAGGAATTATGGCAGAACGCTTCTAAACCGAACATCCAAGATGTTTCGTATTGAGGGTACTGTTCTGATTCGATGAAGAATAGGCTTCATATTTATGAGAGTACAAATGTTAGGATTTGAAGATGACTCCAAACTCGAAGAATTCTAAATTATGACATGCCCGGATATGGTGAGTTCTTTTATATATATATATATATATATATATATATATATATATATATATAGTAATTCATCTAGTCAAGAAGCCTCAACAGAATGCAGAAATCTCTGAGTGGCCGTTTTGTCCTATATTTGGAACTCATCAGCAGTGTTTATCCACTATCGAGATTCGAACCCGGGGCGTTTCGATACAATGCAAGCATCATACCAACTAACCTCGGTGACGAAGAAGATACTAAATAAACTCGATATAGCGCCGCTCTTCACAAATTGTGTGGTGATACTCATCAATGTGTTCATAACCCAATGTATTGTGCCTCAAGAGCCACGTCTTTTCTTTCCCCGAATCTCTCCATCGCAGAGCTCATACTGCAACTTTGGCCAAACTTTCCCTGACGATCCGTTTAGGTGAAACCTAGGTAGGTTTGTCTGGCTCACTAGGTGTATCTATATATATATATATATATATATATATATATGTGTGTGTGTGTGTGTGTGTGTGTATGTGTGTGTGTATGTATGACTGTGTTTTTGTGTATATGCGTGTGTGTATGTCAGTGTGTCATAAATAGTATATAATTCTGATTCTAATATACTATATTCA